GCACACGTGGGTTCCTTCAGCCTTCCACCCAGCCTCCGACGCGTGAATGCTGGCTGCAGGGAGGAAACAGCCCTTCTTGGGGTCCTGAAACTGTGGTCTGTGGGCCCTGCTTGGACTGTACGAAACCCAGACAGTGACCACTGCCACCCGGCCCCTAGACCTCATGCGACTGTCTGAGGGCTCCGGGTGCACCTTCTTCCTCTTCTCCTGGGTGTGAGCCTGGCTTTCCCTGAGGCCTCAGCGTTTCAGGCGGCGCCGAGAGCCTGCATGTTGTGAGTGAGACAGATGCCGCAGATGACTCGGCCTGCGCCCAGCCACCTGTGGCTGACGAGTCCGGGAGGTCTGACGGCATTCTCCTGCTCAGGCAGCAGCCTGGCCACAGCAGAAACCTCAAGGGGGAGGCGGGAGTAAGTCCCTGCGGAGGCAGGCTGAATGCTTCGGGCAGATGCCATCCTGGCCGGCAGCTGCTCTCATCGACAAGCGGCTTTCTGTGTAGACAGGCCACCCCTCGGGCAGACCTGGGCCCGCCTGCTGCCTTGGCCAGGTGCTGCTTCCTGCTCCCAGCTGTTCCCCAACTGTCCTGGACATGCCCCTCCAGGGGGGTGACACCTGTAGGGACAGTAACGCAGGAAGGAGTGACAAGCTAAGGCCCAGTGGATGGGCTCTCACCAGCGGCCTCAGGGTGGGGCTGCTGGCAGGTGCCTGACCGCTCCAGTAGGCCCAGGCCCTGTAGGCTCTGCACCTACATCAGGGCTGGGCGAGCATCTTGCCCACTTCCCAGTCTTCTGGAAAGACTGGCGTGCTAGAACCTTCTGGTGTTGGGTATGGGCCCCGAGGTGCAGGGCTCTTGGGTCCAGGGCACCCACGGGGATGGGCGGATGAGGCTAGCACACCGCACAGGCCTCCTTGTCTGTGTGGCCTGCCTTGACTCAGGCCTGGTCGCTGACTAGGCTGCTTTGTGGTAGCATGCTCCAGGGTGGGGGGACTCTTGAAGAGGTGCCTGGCACTGGGGGTGGCACATGACGGCCCTGGACACCTTTCTGACCAGTGTTCCTGCAGGGCTGTTATCTGTCATTGGTGCACTTGGATGGACCATGTTTACTGCTTGACTGGGAGTGTCCCCTGGGCCACGGCTAGTGCCTGTTCAGTCCTGATGCGGCTGCATTTGAGCTGTGGCTGCCCGCTGTGCTGCCCCGGGGAGCTGCCCACCCTGCCCTCTTCCTCCTGTCTGCCCACCCACCCTTTGTCCCTGCTGGAAGCCCAGCTGCTGTGTGACAGGAGCCTCCTCTCCCTCGTCAGCACTGGGGCCACAGTGCCCGCTCAATACGCGTGTCCTCTCTCCCTGGTCCTCTGTGGCCTCTGTGTCCCATAATGCATAGACGCAGCCAGTGAAGGCTGCTAGAGTCTGGGTGAGGGTGACCAGTCCTCAGTCCCTTGGGGGCCTCTCTGCTGCCCCTTTCCAAAGCTCCCTCGGCACCAGCTGCCCCATGTGCATGAGCCAGAGGGCACACGCCCCCCCGCCCCACACCCACGGGTCTGGCCCTGAGGAGAGTCAGCCCACCCAGCGAGAGGCTTCACCCTATGCTGCCTGCCCCTACCCATCCCATCCCCTGGTCATGCGGCTCCTCGGCTGTGGGCTTGTGTCAGCACCCCACCCCGTGGCCTCCCCAGCCTGAGCCCTCCCACATGCTTGGGGTCCTGGACACAGACGGCCTCCTATGGGGGCCGTAGACAGGTTGTGGGGTGGTGTTCGGTGATGGTGTGCTTCCTGCTCTTAGACACTTCTGCCTTCACGTAGCAGAATGGACCGTTGCCTCCCCTCTGACCCATCCTCCAGGGTACAGGGGCCTGTATTCCAGCCTCCCTCTTTTCGGGGTGTGACACACACGGTCTGCCACAGTGATCCCTCCCTGCCTGTGGGCACACTTCTCTGTAACTCCGTCCTCTTGGTGGAGCACCTCAGGGGTGGGGGGGGGGCGCCCTCTGCTCTCCTGTCACCTCTGTGGGACACAGTACTTGTCAGAGTCTGTCTCATTGAGCGTGACAGGTACCCTTGCACTGCGTGGGACCTTTGGCCTGGCCAGAAGCGGGGTGGCAGAGCCTCCTGGCCTCATTCCCTGGGCGGCGTTATTTCTGACAGCTGTCCCGAGGTGGGACGTCCTCGGAGAGGTACAGGCCAATGCTCCATTCCCAAGACGGGATTGACTGTCATCCAAGTCCCGGTTTTGCCAGCTCTTCTAGTTCCCCAGGATCTCTGTAGCCCTCATGGGTGCCTGTCAAAGTTGTGCCATTTCTGAGCCCTGCGTCATGCAAGGGTTGGAGCAGCACACCACCTGCATCTCTGTCTTGCAGGGACTGGAATATTGAGCAGGGCACCGAGCATCTTGGATCAGCCTCTGCTTGTTCATCACAGTCTCTGCGCCCCTGCTCGCACGCGTCGGTGCAGAGACCATGGTGACATGTCTGCACCCATCTGCAGTTCTGGTGGTGGGGCCCTCTGTTACCCAGACTGCCTCGGTGGTCACCGCTCCATTTCTGCAGCTCGTTTGCCGAGTCTGAGTGCAGGAGCCTGGCTGACACCTGGTGTGCCCACGGGCAGACTCAGCCCTGGCCTTTTCTCCGTTCCTGGCTGACCTCACACTTGAGGGCTATGTGGGGACGCTGGTGTCACCACTGGGCACACAGACACACCGCAGCCTGTGGGTTAACCCCTTGCTGTGGAGCACGAGGCAGTTTCCGATGGTGGCTGCCGCAGCGCAGCTGGACATACGTTCCGTGGTTTCCTGTGAACACATTCGTGGGTGGGATCCCTGAGTGAGAGGGGACACGTGTTAGACTTCGGGCAAAACCCAAGTCATGCCGCAGAGCGACTTCCTAGTTTTAATCCCCGCTGTCTGTCCCAGTGGCTGGGATTGCCTGAGTTCTTTGTCTCTGCTGGTGAGACGGGTGTGGGCCGGTACTTCACGGCAGACCTCAGCTGGGCTGTCCCTGGGCTCGTTGGCACAGGTGCTTTGCCCTCTGGGAAACACCTGTCTTGTGCCCTCTTCTCTGTTGTGTCGTTTTGGTTACTGCTCTGTAGCTCTGTCCCTGCTGCTGACCAGGTAGGTGGGGTGGGGTCATCCCCAGCAGGAGCCTGTGTGGTGTTGGGGGCAGGGCTGGTCGTCATCCCCAGCAGGAGCCCGCGTGGTATTGGTGGCAGGTGGCCACACTGCCCAGGGCCTTCCACCTGGGGGGCAGCCTGTATCACTCCCCTCTCCCTGACAAGCCACTCACAGATGCCAGCCTGAAAGGGTGGGAGCCGCTCCCGCTCCCAGGTGGGCCACATCCCGGCTACGCAGAATGGCTCTCGTCCTATCCCTGTGAGTGTGCATGGGGCCTCTCCCAGGTGGCCCTGAGTTGCAGCGTGATGTTCCCTTGGCTTCCTCCTTCAGTCTTCCTTCAAACGTCATGTCCTGCCTACAAGAGGTGGTCTCCGCAGTGCCTGCCAGCCTCCCTCCCCAGCCCCCCACTGGCCCCCCTGCGCCCCCCTGCCAGCCCTCCACCCACCCACCTGACGGCTGTGCCCATCCCTCTGTGCCTGGCCTGAGGTGAGGCCAAGGCAGGTGGGCTATGGCATGAAGCTTAGCACTCGGGCCTAATGAGCAGTGTTCGGTTTGGGGTTTTTGGCTTGGTTTTGTGGTTGGGGGTTTAGAAGACTGCACTGCTGGGGTGGTGATTCCCACCCCGCCTGTGTTTGCCGTGGTTTCAGTTCTGCTCCTGGGAGTGTTGGTCACGTGGCCTTGCAAGGTATTGACAAGCGTTCAGGAGCCCTGGCCTCGTTGGCAGGGCTGGCGTGTTGGGAGTGGGTATGATTAGGGAGCTTGGTGGGTGCACCCAGATGTCACGACAAGATGCAGGTCTCCCTCAGCCCGAGGACCCAACACCGCCGGCTTCGTTGGCGACCACCTTCTAGCCGCCCTTCCGCAGGCCTTGGGAGCTGGGTGCTGGGACCCCACTCAGTGCCCGGAGCGTGGAGGCGGTGCATGACCTCTGCATGTCTGTTGCTTGTCGCTCTAGGAAGGACAGCATGTCCAGTCTGCAGGCTGCTCTGGTCTCTGCTCAGGGTCAGGCCGTGATGGCACGGACTCTCTAGCTGTCACCTCGGCACCTGTGTCCCTGGTGCTTCTGCGTCCCTGGTGCTTCTGCACAGAGGTGGCTGCTGGCACGTAAGATAGTGGCCTCACAATTCTCTTGCTGCATCTGTTTTCACTGTTTTCTGGGAAAGGTGTATGACTGCTTCTGTCCCTGCACGGCGTGTCCTAGACTGATGCTGCTCAGGAGGCATCCACGCAGGACCCCTGGCAGGCTGCTCACCATGCTTCTGGCATTGAGGTCAGGGGCACACAGCAGTGATGAGGGCCTGGGAACCCGGCCCTGGGTGCTGGTGGGCAGCTCCAGACTTCGGTCTGCTGCCTATTTCGCGGTGGTGTCTTGGAGACCTAACATGCCAGCTGCACTGGCCAGGCTGGGAGGGTGGCCACCCCTGAGCTCCTGCCTGCGTCGCTGGGACCTGGCCTGGCCCTGCTGTTGTCCCTGGTCAGGAACCTCCCTTGCATCTCTGTCCTGGGGTGGGCCAGGCCCCTGGGGAGGATCCTAGAGACCCGTTTAGGGGACAGTGGTCGGGGGGCGTCAGGGGTTTTCCTGATGTTGGCCCTGTTGGAAATGTCACCTCCATAGCTTCCTCCAGAGTATGAACTTGGCGGGAGGGCATGCATTGTACTCCTTGTGCCAGGGGTGTGAAAACTCCCGTCAGGAACGTTTCTGCGCCTGTGATTGCATTGTTGCTTCCGGCAGCAGGCTTGGGGATGGACTTCCCACTGTATGTCCCAGCACTCCACCCCCCTCCCTGGGCCGCCTCGCAGCCTTCAAGGTCTCAGGCAGGGGGCCTGCTCAGGCAGTGGGGTGGTAGGAGAGGGGCAGCGGGAGGCCCACTCACAACTGCTTTCCGTCTTGTCTTGAAGGCTCAGCTGTCACAGGCCCTGGAGGAGCTGGGAGGCCAGAAGCAACGAGCAGACATGGTGAGTCTCTTGATGGTGGTCTCCGTGGCCACAGGGAGCCCAGGGCGTGGGGACCTTCAGAGCCTGGGCGCAGAAGGAATCATATCCCTATCAGGCGCAACCCTGCGGGTCCCTGATGGTCACAGGGTGTCCCCTCGCAGAAATGAAGGAGGGGATGGGACAGGCATGGGGCTTGGAAGCTGGAGCCTGGCCCCCAGGGACTCTGATGTGGGGACCCCAGTGCCCTTTCTGCTCTGCTTCCTGACCTGCTTGACATGGAGCCAGTGTGAAAACCCTTGTGATCCCCGCTTGACCCCCACGGCCAGGTGGTCATTCGGTAGTACCCTGGCTCTGGGCCCATGGCAGCCCCACCTCATAGGGTGTGCAGACAGACACCCACCTGACCCTGCAGCCCGCTTTGCCCTGCTGAGCACTAGGTATGCTCCTTGGCCGGGTGGCCTTGTGGCCGTATGCTGCCTTCTTGGACCATGTTCCCCCGGATGGGCCGCCTGTGGGGCTGGGTGGACTGTGGGCAGGTACCACTGACCCTGGCCTGGGCGCCCTGCACCGAGAGAGGCTTCCTTACCACCATCGGGGGACAGACAGCATTGCTTTTAATGCATCTTTGTCCCATACGAGCTGTAGCCCCTGCCTCTTGCTCTGGCCCGTGGTCTGCTCTCTGTGGGGACCCAGCCAGCAGGCTCACAAGGAGGCCACAGGGCACATGTGAGGTGCTGTGGGGGCAGCTCTGCCCCAGGCCACACACCAGCTCGTTGGGGTTGGGGCGGGCTCAGGGACTCACGTCACAGGTTGGGGTTCCTGGTGTGCAGTCGTCTTTTGTCAGCTTCCGACCTTGAGCAGGTTGCCTTTACCTGTGACACAGGAGTGGGCTACGGGTTGGCGTGTCCTGTCCTTGGGTATGTTTCATCCGTCCTACAGCGGCCCCCACCGCCTCAGGCTATCCAGCTGCGTCTTATTGCCACTGCCACTGTCTCCGTCGTGGAGGGCGGGGCCAAGCCAACCTGAAACCTGCCCCCTCTTGAGGCAGGGGCCTGGGGATGGGAGGGGATGAGGCCCAGGCACCAGCGCCCAGGAGCCTGAGGCTGACTGTGCTCAGAGCCCCTAACTGGCGGGGTGCGTGGTGGGCATCGGTCAGACCGGCCGTGCCAAAGGTAGACACAGTTTAGTTAGAGTGTGAGGCCAGAGGTCAAGGATGGCAGGATGGCCTGGGCAGTGGGTAGGGGAGTCCCCCGTGGGGTGGGAAGATTGGGGAGGGCAAGCCAGGAGATAAGCTGAGATGCTGTTGGCTGTTGGGTGCCTAGGCCTGGGGGTGTGAGCTCCCACGTTGAAGCTCTCGAGGCTCCTGGCATGGGTGGGTCCTCTGGAGCCAGCGAACCTAGCCAGGAAGGCAGAGCCTGAGGTTCGAGCCCTGTCAGGCTGCTCTAGCACTGGGACGTGCGGCCCCACTTGCCAGGAGCAGGGAGGCAGCCCCGCAGCACCGTCCTGATGCCGCGCACGTGCTCTTCAATCTGTAAGTCAGCCCATTCTTGCCGCCATGAGGGCCCGAGGGCACATCCGGTCCCTGCAGTGTCTGAGTTCTCCGCAGGGGCCGTCACTGTTGGCCGAGGGGAACCACCATTCTCCACGTAGAGGCTTCACCCTCGTCTGGCGGGGCCCGGCGGGGGCACCTGCCTCCGGTGAGCCTGGGGTGGGAAGCTTTGTAAACTGCATGGCCTAGATCGCGTGTGTGGGCATGACTAACAGACTGTGGGTGGAGGACAAGCCCAGGGCTGCAGTTTGGCCTGCCTGGTTTCTAGACCTGAGGGGTGGAGGTGGGGGGAAGAAAGCCAAGGGGAGACCCTGACGTGTGGGTCAACATGCATCGTTCCCTCGGCTTTGATGGGAAATGTGCCCGAGGGCATGTGTCCATGCCGTGCACACAGGCAGGCGGAATGAAGATGGAGTCGTGCCGAGTGCAGGCCCAGCTCTCCTTCCGTGGCTCCTCGGGGTTTGGAAAGGGCAGGAGCTCCCATGGTGGGGCCACAGGGGCCGCCGCGTCTCATCATGGGGATACCTGGGGGATGTGGGGCTGGAAGGCAGCTTTCCCGCCTGTGTGTTCCCTTGTTTTCTGCCCATGACGTTTCTTTTCATTGTGTAAAGCTCCCTTGAGCCCTGACATACTGAAGCCCGGTTCCACCTCTAGACCAACTAGACTGGAACTCGTGGGGTGTGGGGCCCACTTCTGCCCAGGTGCTGCTGACGTCAGCCAGGGTGGACGGCGCTCTAGACCTGGCGCCCCTGCCTCTGCTCAGGGGCCCCTCCCCAGCGCTGCGGGGCCTTTGGGGAACACGCTCGTTGGGGAGCTTTGGGTGAAACGTCCCCGTGGCTCCAGACCCGCAGAGCCGGGCAGGCAGGTGGGGACCCGGCTCTTCCCCCAGTGCGCTCCCGGCTGGAGCCTGGAGGTGCCAGTGCTTGGTACACATAGGCGGGAGGTCTAAGGGACGCTAGCTCCTTTAGAGCTGGGCTGTGGCTGGCAGCTGCTTTCTGATTGTCACATCTTGAGCTTGTGTCCCGCTTGTTTCTCTTCTCTCTCTGCTTCCCGCTTAGCAGCAGCACCCAGTGAAGTATAGCAGGCCTCCCTCAGAGGCCCCTGGGCCCTCTTCTTCCTCCATCCTCCCTGGCGGCACCTCTGTGTTGTGAGGCAGTGAGCCCAGGTGGGTCCCCAGCCCATGAGGAAGTGGGTCCAGCCCTGCTGGAAACCCTATTTGGTGTGGCAGTTCAAAGACAGGGTCCGTGGCCAGAGCTCCCTTTGACATGGGGACCAAACCACTGTGGGTCTTGCTCTGTGACCCTCAGCCTGTTTTGGGGACAGTTGTGGCAATGGGTGTGACGGAGGGCACCTCTCACCGCAGGAAGATGTGCCCCCCAGCCTCTGTCCAGGTGGGTTGGGGACAGCCTGGTTCCTGTGCCACCTGTCCCAGCCTGCTGTCTCTGGGTCCTAAGTTGATTCACTATTTAGGAGAAGAGAGAAAAAAGAATATAAACATCTGTAGCTAATTGCAGATGACAAGACAAAGATAGTTTGCTTTTCTGTTATTAATTAGCAAATGTATGCTAATTAGAAGCATGGCAGAATTCAGTCTTTTCTCTTTAAATGCAATTAATATCACAAGGAAAGATGTCCTGGGCCATAGTTGTATCGTTAACATCCCTCACCCTAATTAGACATGGCCAGTGGTGGCTGGAGAAATGAGCTTTTTGACTATAACTATGAAAATCCCTCTAATATTTTATGTACTCCAGGGAGCAGGAAGTGAAGATTTATTTTCCAATTTAAGGGGAATGAAACCCCTCACAACTCTGGGTAATGATGCTGTCGTCTGCCTTGAGTACCGTGTCCCCTTCTGGCTCCTGTGGGCTTGCACTGGCCAGCGCAGGCCCGTGGCGGGTCAGCCAGGAAGGGCTCTGGCAGGAGAAGTTCCATCCATGCACTGGTTGCAACAGATGCTCCTGGGGTGTGCATGGTGTGGCCACATCCCAGCAGGGCAGGCCCGTCATCCAGGGCTGAGGGGTGTCCACGAGGCCGCAGCCCTTGGCCTCCATGCGGCCTCTCCCAGCCTGCGGCTTCCATTCAGAGCACCAGCTGCGGCTCTGAGGGGCTGGTGCACAGATGGCCGGAGATACCGGTGAGCGGCGATTTTCAGCTCTACGGACGGGCTGTGCACCCTAGCGTGTGCCTTGCTGATGTGTGTGGGACCGTGAGAGCAGTGCGGGGTGCTGGGAAAGCTCAGGAGGAGTCGTGTGCACTCCCATTGTTCAGTGCTGGCAGCCGGCATCCGTATGTGCCTGCCGCCCGAGAACCAGGCCTTATCGCAGCCTACCAGCGTTGCCAGCTGCCTTCCGGAAAATTATTACAAGAATCTCCTGGTTCTGTGACTGACAGTGACTCGTTTCTCGTCCCGGATCCATCCTGCCACGCAACCAAGCCCAGGTTGGAAGATTACCCCGCCTCCACCAGAGAACTTCGTCTGTGGTGGGGGAGTCACACAGGCTCATGGGGGACATCATGCAGGGACCCAGGGCTGGTAGCAGCCTCGGAACCCCTTGCAGGGTTCTGCGCACATAGAACAGTGTCTGACTGTGTCACCTGCTGCTGAAGCCCAGCATGCTGGCCGCGTGCCTGGCTGTCCTGTAGGCTCGGGGTAGCCGGTGCAGGAGGTGGGCCTTCCCTGAAGGTAGTGGGGCTGCTGGCCGGCTGGCGGTCCTGAGTGGTAGTGCTGCCTCGTCCACACCCAAGCCACGTCCTGGGTGTCTTCTGGTGCTCAGTGCCTGGCACGGAGTGAGCACTCGACATGCAGTGGGGTTGACATGGGGTGAGCATCTGCAGGCTGGTTGGTTCTCGAGTGCCCCAAATACCCATGGTGAGGGTTCAGTTTATTACTACACACTCTGCTGGTGTTATGGGGAGCCAGGGACTGTTCCAAGAGCTCTGGACACGTCCACTCTTAGAGCCCTGCTAGGTGGCCCTGTTGTCACACCCCCCTTACTTAGCAGGAGGCAGAGGCCTGGGTCCCAGTGAGTTCCAGCTCTAGAGGCTTTGCTGCCGGCGCACACCTCTGCCTGGGCCTTCAGGACTCCCAAGTGTGTGGGAGTGTCCCTTGTGTTCCTGACTGCACTGACCCATGTGAGTACAGGCCATGTGGTCAGCGTCCCCATCTGGGAAGTGTCCGATGCCCAGAGCTTTGTGTCCCTTCCAGAATGGATCTGCTGAGTGCTGGCCCCCAGGGAAGAGTGCCTGGGGTGGCTCTGTGGGATCCAGGAAGCCATTTGTAGGGGTGGAGGGAAAAGGGCTTAATGAAGTATATGCAGAAGTTAGCATCGAGCTGACCTGAAGTGTACAGGGCTGCCCCTGAGAGCAGAGTCCCCAGCAGGCGCCTAGGGCTAGGGGGTTCTGGGTAATGGAGGGACATGAGCTGGTTTCCAGCTGCTGTCCCTTGATGGCTGCCTTCGGGCAGGGCTCA